CTGGTATTACCACCATTGTTAACCGTGTGTGTGTGTGTGTGTGTGTGTTTGAATAATGATTCTCCCCATAATTTTGATTTATAAAATGCTGGTGTATTTAAAAATGAAAGCTGAGGCAAAAGTTTATAGAAAGTGTTTTGATCGGGAGGTCATCCAAGGTAAATTTGCATCCAAGTTCAAAAATAAACTTTCTTGTCATTTCTTCTATAATCACAATAATAACAACAGTGATAAAAACAAAGACAGAAGGAAACTGAATCAAATCGCCTAGACTACATACCCAGACACCTCTTTAAAAAAAATTAAAGTTTAAAATTTCAGCTTTTCTTGTTGGTGCATGATTATAAATAACACTTACATCTTATCTCTTCTCTCCTTCCTACACATATATCATTCCAGTAACAAAAACATTACTTTAATCCGATGCAGTCTTTCGAGAGGACAAAATGCTTTACACAGAATTTTATTTCCACTTTGTCATTCATTTGCATATATATATATATATATATATATATAGTTCTTGCTAACAAGACGCTTCCTCTGTAGCTAAATGGTATAGCACGTCAGGCTATACAGCGGTTCTGTCTAGGATACAGGTTCGATTCCTGTCGGGGGAAATAAATTTTTCTTTGAGATTTCTCCGAGATTCAGGCTGGTAAATGTTGTTAATATTGTTTATTATAAACAGAGCATTTACTTAAATAGTTGTATCAATAAATATAATGTATGAACAAAAATATATTAAAATAATTGTCGGACTTAGTCCATTTTTTTTTTTTTTATATATATATATATATATATATATATATATATATATATATATATATATATATATATATATATATCGTACCATAATACCACCTGCGCACGATGCACTGGTTATTAAGTAGATAATCAGAAGTTTTATATATAATGCACCACCTGCGCACATATATATATATATATATATAGAGAGAGAGAGAGAGATAGATAGATACTCATATTAGGGTCATATGTATGAAAATGAAGAGTTAATTCGCGCAATATCTAGATTTATATGCAATGCTCCAAATTTTATTTTTTTTGTTTTGTTTTTTACCCCGCCTCACTCACATACTAATCACTCCTATCAACAGGAAATATCCAATTACTTGAGCTATTATTCAGCTATTATATAGGCTTGCATGTGTGATTTTACATCAATGAAATAAATAACTTATACTCTAGAAAAAATAGGCTCTCGCTTATTGAGTAAGTACCTATATATGTCTTTGTTTGTGTTTTTGATCCTTAATGAGATGTACCTGTTTTTAGTGTAATTGTTAACAAGGCTCGTCTGGGTAACTATTACTACGGAGTAGAAGGTTTGATAAGAGGATGGCACTATTCAAAGGGTGACAAGCTATTAAAAAAAAACAAGAAGCTAGTGGGAGTTATAAAGGATATTAAAACTTCTTCCTCGGCAATTCTGCTATTGACAGAGAATTTAATGTGTTGGTTTATTTTTTATAGTAATGTTCACCCTTTACAAGGCCCGGGGACCACTCGAGGTAGAGGGTTACTTTAGGAGGCTATTTGTGCATATTGGAGTGGAATTTAACAGGTCATGATTGTAGTGATCGGGGAAACATCCTTTTGGGAGTCGGTTCCACAGGGCAGTAGGTCGCGGAAAGAAGCTGTTCGAGCGGAATTTACCTCTCGCCGATGAAATATGGAGCAAATGTGGGTGGTTTGTTACCATGGAAGTGGTATGGTGGATGCTTGCCAGAAAGATAGCATTTAGTTTTCAAACAAAAACAGAAGTATATATATTAGGAGAAATACGATATATAAACGTTATATATATATAGATAGATAGATAGATAGATAGATAGATAGATAGATAGATTGCAGATATCCCTGAGGAGTGGACGGAATAATTCCCGGAGGGTCCGTCTACGAATACTCTAGAGTCGCGAATACTCTAGAATTGGGATACTGAAGGTAATATCAATCAGTAAAGTGACAAATCTTTTTTAATTGTAACTATATATATATATATATATATATATATATATATATATATATATATATATATATATACACACATACATACATACATATATATATATATATATATATATATATATATATATATATATATATATATATATATATATATATATATATATATATATATATATTGGATTGATGTTTGTTTCACGCTATTTACAAACATATTTTATAGCGTGAAACCCAGGGTCACAAACTCACAACAATCCAACTAAATATGTTAGCTCTATCACTGATATTGCGCGCTTTCCAAGAAATACCGCGTATATATAATATATAAATAATATATATAAAAATTGCATATATATATATATATATATATATATATATATATATAAATATATATATATATATATATTCATTTTACACACACACACACACACACACACACACACATATATGTGTGTGTGTGATTCCACCAATAAGAATATTATTTTAGTCTTATGAAACGTTACATAAATTATTTTCCATTTTGTCATTCAATTACCTACTAATACACACGTTTGTTCAAAAAGAATGTGCAGATTTCGAAAATTTAATAAAAACAAATACTAAAAGACAGAAACACATTCAACACTTTATTACTGGATAAGAAAAGGTTCAAAGTTTATTATTTTAAGGTTGTTCAAATTGTTTGCACTCAACATGGGCACCATGTGTTGCTCGACTAACATCGAAACGGTACTCCACTTCTTGTCACACTCGAATCAATTGATCTGTGGATATTTACTTCACAGCTTCAACAATTCGATGCCTCAAAAACCATCTTTCTTTTATATATCCCTATACTTTTGTGCTCGTTACCTTTAGTGTGTATACTTGTTTGATTTGACACAACTTTTTTTTTTCTTTATATTTTCTTTAAACAGTTAAATTGATTATCCAATGGCCGAGATTGAGAAGTCCCCTAAAGAAAAATGTGCCTTCCAACAGGAACTGAACTTGTATCCCCTTTTTCTATCAGTAAAACTACTTAAACAGTCAAGATGGCTAATTACCAATTTGGCCACAGGAGGTTGTCATGAAAAAGCAAATTTCAATTGTTTTTTTTTTAAGAAACGCGCATCTCTCGCTGGGACTTGTTCAAATTTATGTCTGCTAGTATCATTTTCGTACCAAAAACAGAAACACTCATTTTAAATGGATTTAAATTCAACATTATTGCTTATTACTAAGGATGTTGTTTTTAGCGGGTGCACATTTTCAAGCTGATATCTGTGTTTTTTATTTATTTATTTATTTTTCTTAAACAGCGAAATCTAGACCAGTTGATGCTACATTTACAGTTTAAGAAAATAATTTTCGTCTCAGTGGATTATTTTCTCTGAGACGAAAATGTTTGGAAAGTGCCATGTTCGCTAGTTCAGCCACGGTAAATTTGCGTCCAGGCTCTTACAATATATCACCATTCTTGGTAGATTTTATATTATCATATTGTGGGATAGTCAGGGAGAAACGTAATAGAGAGAAAAAGAAAAAAAAAAAAAAGAATACAGATGAGAATTTGGGAAGATTGAAACAGAAAATATTCTTTCAAAAATGTTCTTTCAAAAACTTTTGAAACTATCTGCATCTTTCGTTTCGGGCGCATGTGCAGACGTGTCAACTGCCCAGTTCGATGAAATCCTAACGGATGAAACGCGTCACAAGAAATTTATCATCTTGTCATATTTTTCTAAATACTATTTATCGATATATAAAATTATACAAAATTATATATATATATATATATATATATATATATATATATATATATATATATATATATATAGTTTTAAGGTATGGTATATTTAAAGATTAAAGACACCGATATCATAGATAGAGCGTATGTAAATATAAAAGTTGACATTGAAGTCTACACCCAGAGGCGACAGTCTGTTTCATGCTTAAATGCAATCGTCAGGCTGGACGATTATATATATATATATATATATATATATGTATGTATGTATGTATGTATGTATGTATGTGTGTGTGTGTGCAAATGGAGGCATGCTGCTTAGCGTCTCAGAATGAGGAATCGGAGAGTCAAATTTGAATTCCAGTCGTGTTCATTATTTTCACATACATTCCCTTGGGTAAGGTATGAATCCATCTCTTTCCCTAAGCTATGGGTAACATAGCAGGACAGACTGGGTCCTATAGCCTTGGTTGGAAACCAGTCTAGGAGAAGGAAACTCAGAATTCAAACCAGATTGCACTATCATAAAAGTGTGCATGCATGCGACTGGGGACTGCTTGTGAATCCAAATTCCTATTCTAACGATTACTATTTGCACGTCAGAATGAATACGACCTCTTCTATACTTGGTCAGCTTTCGTTCAGATGAGGCGTCAAAAGGAACCCAATGTTTCATAGAGAGCTAGGGTAACTAGCTATGGACCCGACAGGGAAAAGAATTGATAACATTCAGATGTTTCTTCATTTTTGCCTGACTTAGTCAGAAAGTAGGTCAGTCTGAGTCTTTTTTTTTTCATTACTACTTTACAAATACACACGCGTGGCTTGCCATAGAATGGTGATTATCAACATTATCTTGATACTTGTAATTACTCTTGAGTATTTAATCCTCTCGGGGTGTCTGAAATTGTGGTCTGTGTCACGCTAAATTGGGCACACATACACACGCGCGCATAAGCACAAGCACACAGAAAAAAAAAGGTTAAATTCAAACATGAATATGTATGAAAGCAGAGATAAAGACACAAATATAGAGAAGCATAATTACATACACACAATAATATACACATGTATACACAACTATCTACAAATGCATAAATACATAGGAACGTTGACCGCATGAATTTAAGAACACTACCAGATTGGCAACTAGGTCTCATCATTTTACTTGTGAAATAGCTACATAGTAACACACACACACACACACACATATATATAATACAAATTTGTGACTGGTAGGGAATATATATATATATATATATATATATATATATATATATATATATGTCTATGCTTAATATATATATGTATATACATATATATATATATATATATATGTATAGATATATATATATATATATATATGTATATATATATATATATATATATATATATATATTTTATATATTATAAATTAATTTAAAATATGTTTTTTTCGCTACACATTTCTAACCATGTTTCAAAAATGGAAGCTGATTATATATTCATGGTTCTTTTTTCTTTATATATATATATATATATATATATATATATATATAACTGAATACATATATATAATGAATTTATATATATATATATACCGAATATATTTATATACATGCATATTGAATTTATATATATATGCGTATATATATATATATATATATATATATGTGTGTGTGTGTGTGTGTGTGTGTGTGTGTGTGTGTGTGTGTGTGTGTGTGTGTAACCGAATACAACAATGAACATCATCACTTGATAAGACACCAGAAATTTTGAAACAAAATAGCTAATTTTTTAGTTATGTTACAACAATTTTTGAATAAATATTATATATATATATATATATGTATGTATGTATTTCGGGTGTAACAGCAAAATTGTCCAAATCTTGTAACAGCGTAATTGTCCAACCCACAAAATGTTTGATATCCAAAACGAAAAAAAATACTGAACTCATTGAGCTTCTTTTTTTTTCCATGTTTTCGGATGTTTAGCCTTCTTGACATCATTTTTCGTAAGGATCACTGAAAAACCCTTTGGGCTATTAGCAGAACAGGTTAAAATTGTTTGGTGTTAGACCCTCTGTCTTCCCAACTGAGCAAGTTGAGAAGAAAATGTTCATTCAGGCCTTCATTAATGGTATCATCATTCATACTCTGGTTTCCATCTTCAAATTCCATTCAAGAATCATCAAGAGAACTGTGATTAAGTTTAAAAAAGAGGAAGCAGTAGAGAGAAAAACTGGATCAGGAGGTCAAAGAAGGAAGAGGGTTCATCATTTCAACTTATATCTAAAGGGATGAATTAGAAAAGATCCAACTCAATCCATAAGAAGTTTGGCATGTGAGAGAGGAATTTCAGCTATGACAGAAAGTTAGAAGATTAGAGACGGCGAAGATCATCTTGAATAAGTTGAAAAAATACCATGGAATAATATATATATATATATATGTAAGCAAATGTAAATGGATATAGATCCGACAGAATGAAGAAAATTTGGAAAAAACAAACAAAAATCCTTAAATGCAATTATGATGTTTAAAATGAATGAAATGTCGACGTCTGATATTTAATATTTCCCCTTTTTTAGCGAGATTAATGCTCGACAAGCATACACATAAAAATTTTAGATCCTAATAGAATTCTTTTCATTTTCTTTTTTCATTCAAAATAATCAAAAATTTTCAGGAATATTGTTTTGAAAGCGTCGCCCATGTGACGACAACGTGACCATGTTAAACGGAAAGCTGATCATTTTTAAAAATTTTCAGTTATCTATTTTGGATAAGACTTGTTTTTATGTCCATCGTCTTTGTCAAATTGAACTGAATTGTATTTTAATGAATATTGTCTTGAAAAAGGTTTATTAAACCGAAACGTCAGACGTCGACATTTCATTCATTTTAGACATCATAATTGCATTTAAAGATTTTTGTTTGTTTTTTCGAAATTTTCTTCATATATATATATATATATATATATATATATATAATGAACTTTATTTCAATCCTTCATGAGCTTGTTACTCCAGGGCAGAAAGTTAGAAAGTTAGAGAAGGCGAAGGTCATATTGAATAATTTGGAAAATGATTCTAGAATAATATATATATATATTTGAACTTTATGTCAATCCTTCATGAGCTTCTGATCCTTAGCTATTAATTACTGACGAACATGTCATTTTCATTTATAATTGATTTCATCATGGTAATTCTTGTAAGCTTGGAGAGTAATTATACATTCTTATTTCTCTAATTGAGAGTCCAATAGTGTTATAAAAACCTCAAAAAATTCCAGTAAGATATCTTTAATCATTTCTAAGATACAACACTTCAAAGCTTAATCTAACAAATGGATAAATTTGCTTTTCTATAATTTGGACAATTTTTCTGTTACACCCATTAAATATATATATATATATATATATATATATATATATATATATATATATAACACAATTGCAGGTAATGCTTTCATGTGCAAAGACATTTCTTCTCACAAAAAACACCACCTTTCGAAAACGGAAGACAAATAGGAGAGACGAAGTTCATAGAAAAACCACAGTTCTCCATCCCCTGAACGTTCCTACCCTATCAGGCAGTGGCTGCGGAGGTCTCTTCAAATCCAACATAGGACTCATTTCACTCAGAAGGGCATGTCGATTAGCACCCCAATAATCAACAACAGGCTCCACCGACATTAGCACTGCCAATATCATTTTGTACGTTATGTATACATAGTTTTCACACACACACACACACACACACACACATATATATATATATATATATATATATATATATATATATATATATATATCACTTCAAACTTGAAATGTTATTCTTAGTGTATAACCGTGTTTGAAATAGACGTCCTGTTTTATTTTATACAGTATCACAGAATCACAGCCCATCAAATTTCTACTTTTCCTTTTAAGGAATGCACACTCCTTCATTCGCATATATATATATATATATATGTGTGTGTGTGTGTGTGTGTGTGTGTGTGTGTGTGTGTGTGTGTGTGTGTGTGTGTGTGTGTGTATGAAATTAGAATAAGCTATAAAGGCATGTGTTTATCTGAACCAGGTTATGAAATGAAGCATTTTTAACTAGGACAATATATATATATATTATTATGCAATTGACTGTAACCCACAAACCTATCTTTTGTCATCTTACACCTACCCACTCACAACCATGAAAAAAATAGAGAAGGAATGGAATGCTAAACTTTCCTTAATTTCTTCTTCTTCTTCATGTCAGTTATTATTATTATTATTATTATTATTATTATTATTATTATTATTATTATTTAAAAACTTAAGAATAAAAAGTGATGAGAATTTTTTTTGATTGATGTGTGTTGAGCAGACAATAGAAAAACTAATGTAAATGCTGAGGAATTCCTTGTCCAGCTGAGTCAATGGCCTATCGACAGTATTATTTGTTAATTATGAAGATTCTCTATGGTATTTTATAATGAGAGATAAAATGTTTTAGCGCTCTGTTAGGACACACTTATAATTATGTTCAGAAATAGTTGTTTAAATACACATACCTACCCCCATATATATATATACATATAACTTATGTTGTCCATAAAAGTTCTTCCTGCCTGAATAAATCCAAATTGGATCTCTTTAATTTAATAATAAGCAAGAGTATCCACTAAGGGGTAGAAAAATGAATTTTAGGGAGACACAAAAGTGCTCAGTGCTTGATAGCAGAGCAAATATTAGTAGGAAATGCGCCACTAATGGGCAGCCTCTTCATGTGCGAAGTTTCTATACAATCTTCAGGTTGCCCATGCTATAAGCTCTAATGGCGGCTTTAAGTACACCATATATGTATTGGGGATTTGAATAGAAATCTCTCTTTAATGCATGTGTCAATGAAAATTACTAACAAGGTATTTCTGTTAATGATTTTTATCAGATTTTTCTGGTGTCTGAACGTGAGATTTCTTTTGGGGACAAAGGGTATAGAGAAATTGTCCAAATGATTTTCTGCTTAGTTTATCAGTTAGCGATTTTCAAGAATTTTGATTGTGCAATTGATATTTAGGCTGCTGATATTAAAAAAGTCTGATTAAAAATCATAGACAAAGAATATTTGTAGATATGTGAGCGTTCAATATATATATATATATATATATATATATATATATATATATATATATATATATATATCAGTGAACGTTGAAGTCAACACTCAGAGGCGACAGGCTGTTTCATGCTAGACGCAATCGTCAGGCGGCCTGACGATTTCGTCTAGCATCTGTCGGCTCTGAGTGTTAACTTCAATGTTTTTTTTTTTATTTACATACGCTCTATCTCTGATATTGAGCACTTTATCCCATAAATATAGTAACCTTAAAACTATATATATATATATATATATATATATATATATATATATATATATAGATAGATAGATAGATAGATAGATAGATAGATATGAATATCAAATATCGCACATTGTGTGGGGGTGTTAATAAAATAGTGCTTGATAATATAATATATACATATTGTCCTTGTTAAAGATGCTTCTTTTCATAGCCTGGTTCAGATATACATGACTTTATGCTTTACTTATTTTTGTATATATATATATATATATATATATATATATATATATATATATATATATATATTAAAGAAGTGATACATTTTTTTATTTATTAATCTGACAGA